AACAACGATTTATAACAACTGGATAATCCTTATGTTGTGATTAATCTATCCGAGCCAACAAAATCCAAAAATTACTAGATAACATGGACTATTATACAGAATGTTATAGTTTCTGCTATAGGACTGTAACTGTTGATGGTAAAATTTCCTAGAGACATTTGGTTTATATATTTCCAGAGCAAGTGATGGAATTTCTTGGTATTTTGGGTTTATACTGCTATGCAATATCTCTTTTGAAATAAGTTGTCTATTCACTGTTAAAGGACGAAGCAAAAAAGAGCAGCCTCGCCAATTTGATTAGCAGTTAAAAGTGAAAAAGGACATAAACTAGGGGGCAAAATAGGATTTATACTTCAAATTCAGGATGATTCTCCCAGGCGACAGCCTCAGATTATTCCTTGAACAAGATGGAAGTTTTGTGAACATTTTTCAAATAAAAATTACAGGTTTGCATATGTAATATATTTTGCAACCGCAAACTATTATACAAGGCGAAAAAAGAAGAACACTAAAATACCAACGTTTTTTGTATCTTATATTATATATAGTATATTTATGGAATCTTTTACGTGTATCTTAAATCCCTAAATGTTCAAATGAATTTCCATGATGTTAAATACGAACATATAATAATTTTTTTAATTTTCGTTACCACATAAATAGAAATAAAATAGTTTTTAAACAATGATGATCGATTTGCACTGCAAGTTTTTAAATTTTAATATACAGGCTTTCAGTAGAAAAAATATAATTGTGCATTGTACCGTTTCGTAGAGTCACCCTATATTTTTTCGCTATCTTCCTTCGTAATGGATTTCTTGGCGTTCAGAGAAAATAAAATAAGGTATGCAAACCAACACTAAATAACAAAACGACAATTACAGCTTATAAAAGCATTAAAAAACTGAGACTTAAAATAAAATCGACAAAATTTGTCTTGTCCAAATTTTTCAGATGTAGTTACGTATGTTAGTTACGAAGATAATTTCAACCTTAATTATTAGAACATGGGCAGAAAGACCGATTGGGTCGATAGCCTTTTTCTGTAGGAAATAAAGAT